GTGACCCCCCCAGGACGGGGGAGGCAGCGCGAGCACGCAGAGGGGGGGGATCGGTGCCCCTCGGGGCTGGGGGTCGGTGCCCGCCGGGCGGGGGGAGGCTGCTCGCAGAAAGGGGGGTCGTTTCCCCCGGGGCGGGGGTCGCCTCACCAGGCGTTGTGCTGGAAGAGTCGGCTCGGGTCGGTCAGGAAGCGGCTCCCGAACGGCTGCCTCCTCCCAGGGGCCGCCGCCGCCTCCGGCCCACTGGGCGCCGCCATGACAGGCTGCGCGACCCGGAACCGGAACCCACCGTCCGACCGGAGAGAGAACTCCCTCGGCTGCCCCGCGGGAGGCGGCCTGGGGCCTGTGATGGGCGGGAACTGGCGGGTTGTTGGGGGGGCGGGGCCCGGGCCGAGCCTTCGCACGCGCCTCGCGCTGGCTGCCGCCCCCACCGAGCCAGAGCCAGAGCCAGAGGCTGCGCAGCCCCAGAGCGGGGCGGCGGGGATCAGCCCCACGAGCAGCGGGGTCACCGCCCACCCGTGGCACGTGTCCCGCGGGGCAGGAGCGCCCGGCCCTAGGGGTCCATCCCACCCAGCGCTGCAGTTTGGTTTCAGGGAGCAAGGGCCCAGCTGCTCCTTCTTCCACCACGTGACAGAGCAGGGGACATACAACTCTCCCCCAAGGCCTTCAGTCACACATTTCATTTACGCATTATTTTTTTAATGAGCCTCATCAGCATGGACGCGTGGCCCCTGAAAGGATGGCCGAAGCATGAAGGGACATACCAATCTTTACCACATCTGGCATGTAAATATCTTGTAACGCCGGCTACAACCGTGCCATGCAAATGCCTGTTCTCGCTTTCTGGTGACATTGTAAACACGAAGCAGGCAGCATTATGTTCTGCAAATGTAACCAAACTTGTTTGAGCAATTGGCTGAACCAGAAGTAGGACCGAGTGGACTTGAAGGCTCTAAAGTTTTACATTGTTTTGAGTGCAGTTATGCAACAAAAGTATCAGGGGGCAGCCGTGTTAGTCTGTATCTACAAAAACAACAAGGAGTCTGGTGGCACCTTAAAGACTAACAGATTTATTTGGGCATAAGCTTTCTTGGGTAAAAACCTCACTTCTTCAGATGCACCTGAAGAAGTGAGGTTTTTAC